TTGGTTCTTGTAAGCAAGCACCAACAGGGGAAAACCTGGAATGCAACATCTGAAGGGTCACCCCGATTACCCCAAAGGGCCCCGGATATTCCACTGTAAATAGGCCATGATTGGGAATGAAGAAAATATCAGGAATCTGTAGGTAAAGGCACCTACGGACTAGAGGGGCCTAGAAAAGTCAATGTGTGGTGGCATTGGAAGAGTTCAAGCAGCGAAGTAACGGAGCGTTGCGAAGAATGGGGTTGTGAAGATGGAGGAGAGGGAAGAGAAGGAACAGGAAGTGAATCAGTTTTCCATTGAAGGGTTTTGTCTCTGCAATATATTCTGAAATGGCTTCAAATGTTTCTGGGAAATTTAAAAAATGTATGGGGGACCATATGGAGGTAGAAGGGGAGGGTGAGTAAAGATTGGGACAGTAATGGACTGTTACCAAAGTAGAGGGGACGAAGAGTGTAAGGGACTGGAGATGAAGGTGGGGGGGGAAAGAAGAGGCAGAAACCTGGGAGGTGGCAGAAGAGGGGAAGAAACTTGGGGGGGGATGGGGGTGGAAGGCATAGTACGAGGAGGAGGGTGAATCTCCACACTTGTATTAGAGCCAAAAGAGAGGGGAAGAACTAGGCACAGAGACTGGAAAAGGTAAAGTGTGGAGGTGGAAAAAGGGAAGGAAGGGGCAAGATGATTTGAGCAATGTGGATTTTTTGGGAAATTCTGAGAAGTAGAGGGGCGATTGGTATAAGGTGTCTTTCAGGTTTTTGTGAAAAGGGGGTTGGGGGAAGGGGACGCGTAGTGTGAAACAGCCCCGAGTTGTTTTTGGGGACTTAAGAGCCAAGGACAAAAAAAAGGGATTAGATGCCGGGGGTGGCTATGGGGGGGGAAACCCAAAGAGGGGGCCTGCAGAAGAGGGAAACCCCCCAAATGGGGAAATTTTGTTTTAAAACATGAGAATAAGAAAAAACGGGGTCTCCCTTGGGGGCAGAGGAAAAACTGCCAAAGCAAAAGGGGACCTTCGCCCTTTAAAACCCCGGATTTCACGTTCTTTTAAAGTGGGAACCAGGCAACAGGGGGTACGAAGGGTGACTTCATTAAAAATTAAGGAAAGATGGGGGTTATTTCAAGATGTTTTAGAAAGGGTTTGCCCGGGAAACCCAAGGACTGGGCATTCGGCTATAATCGCAATATTTCGCTGGGTTTACCAAAACGCCAGCAATTTCTACACTGTTGGGTGTAGGTATCACCTTTCGAACTTGTAACCGATGGTTTCCCGACATATACGGGAAAGGGAGTTCCGGGGTGTCAAAAGTTTTAAACCCAGCCACTTTTTTAAGGGGGAAATCTCCGCCCCAAAAGGGGAGGAGGACAAAATGTCTACTTTTAGGGTTGGGAAAATCCGGGAGTTCCAGCTGTTCCAAAAATGTCCTTTTCCACATATGGAAATTTTGTTTGGACTATGGTAGGGGCCCGAATTTACAGTACCACTAAAAAGAATTGAGAGAAAGATATTTTTCAATAGTGATAGGGTAGTATCGTATTCGAAAGGGAGAAAGTTTTATGAACTTGGGGGGGCAAACTGGAAAAGTGACAAAACGGGGTACCGCTCTTGAGAGCATGGGAAAAAAAAAAAATCTTACCAACCTGGGCGCAGGAAAGCTTTTTTCCAATACTAGGTCAGAAAGATAGGCAGAAGAAGTCCCGGGCTTTAAAAAATTTGTCCATTGTGTGGGCCGAAAAAGGCCCTGGGGGAGGGAGTGCATGATGTGCGGTTCCCTTTTTCCCCAGTAGAAAGGGGAAAGGGAACCCAAGGAGCATCATCAGGGGAAAAGACGTTGGGGTTTTGGAGTAGGCCGGAGGGCGGGGCCCGCGTTTTTAAAAGGGCTGGCGATTTGAAAATTGCTGTAAATGTAGAGGGGAGGGGGGGGGGGTGGGGGGAAGGGGGGGAAAATAGGGCAAAGGGAGGAGGTTAAAAACCCAAACGGGGGGAGTCAGTCGAAACCCCGGTACCCGAAGCGGGTGAGGAAACAGCCCCCCAGCAAGAGGTCAGGGGCATCAAGGGGTGTTCCCCAAAAGTGGGCTAAAAACAAGGCAGGGGCAGAAAAAAGGGGGGGGGGGGGTTTTCAAAAGGGGCCCGGGGGTTTGTGGGTTCAAGGATTGGGGGTTTCCATGGTTAGGTTACTCCTTTGCTTTTTTTTTTTAAGAAAAAAAAAAAAAAAGAAAAAAAATAAAAAAAAAAAAAAAAAAGGGGGGCGGGGGGGGAAAAAGTTTCCCGGGGAAAGAAAGGGCCGGGGGGAAACTCCCGCCCCGCCCAAGGGACCTCCGCAACCCTAGTTAAACGCAGATGCAGCATGGAAACCCGGGCCCCCTTCCCTAACCCCTTTAGCCGGGAAAACCAAAAAATCCGGGGATAGAAAATTCACTCTGCCGGGGCTTTCCTCGGTGGACAAAAGAGAGGGCGGGCCCGGGTATCCCCACAAAAGCATACCCCCTTCGGCCCCCACCCCCCCAAAACCGAAAAGGGGGCTTCCAGAGATACCCCCGTTTCCCCCCCAAAAACACCCCAAAGCTACTCCCGGGATACCGGGGGAGGGACGGGACATTTCCCCCGGGGGATCCAGATTCCCACGGGAAAATACGCCACCCGCCAAGAACTCAAAAGGAAAAGGGGGTGGGCCCCTACCTTTCCCCTACCTAGAAAAATAGCGCGCCCGTTGGGGAAACCCCCAAAAGGGCCAAAAAAAAGGAAGGGCAAAAGGGAGGGGTGGGGGAGGAGGAGGGGAAAAAAAAAAAAAGGGGGTTAAATAGGGAGGTAATTTAGGGTTTGGTCTGGGAAAAAGGGGCCGACAGGTCTGATTCCCTCAAAACCCAAAACCTCTTCATCACAACAAGGTTTTTTTACAAAACCGCTCCCCATTACTCTCTCATGTACTCATTCTCTCTCTTTGTTTTATTTTTTTAATTCTTTTTTTTACACCCAAAACCCCACTTTTAAAATTACAAATATTTTAAGGTAAGCAATGAGTGTACTGTATATGCATTTTATTGCTCAAGGGCACTTTAAATGCCTGGTATATAATGTGGGTAGGGTGGCCAGATGAGGTTGCGATACCTACCACACTTCAATACCTACCTCCCCAACTATTCACCTTGCACTCTATATTAAGACCATTAAGACTAACAATATTTTAGGGTTAAGTAACGAATGTTTACTAAATGCATTTTATTGTTCTAGGGGTCTTTAAATGTTGAAATATATTACGTGTGGGTGGGGTTGGGCAGTTTGGCCTGGCTGGCTGCCATACCTACTACACCTAGCTTCTTACAATAAACACTACATGCTCTCTCCCTACATTAAGACTACAAATATTTTGAGGTAAGTAATGAGTGTACTGTGTGTGTATTATACTTTTTATTGTTTTTAATGCCTTGTTCTATTGCTAACTTAATATATGTTAGTTTAAACTTATTATCTGACATAAGTGGAAAATAAATGGCGTTCTGCTCTCCACTAGTTGCCTGGAACCTAAATTGCCGTATAAGTGGGGCCCTACTGTATTAAGCACTAGAGCTAAGCCTAAGAAATGTGCCTACAGTACACACGTTACTTAAAATACATTCATCCTTACCCTTCTAAAGGAATAATTTTAAAAATAAATATTTCTGCCATTTCAAAGAACTTACGGGCCTGAAACCTACCAAAATGAACACAGATAAGAGTAAAGTGATGAAGGTATCAAACGATTTAGATGAAAAATTGGATATTACATTGGAGCGAGGGAATATGGAAGAAGTGAATATTTTCAGATATTTGGGAGTTGACGTGTCAGCAGATGGGTTTACGAGGGAAAAGGAAAACAGGCAAGTGGTGCATTGAGGTATATTTGGAGACAAAAAACATTATCTATGGAGGCAAAGAAGGGAATGTATGAAAGTACAGTGGTACCAACACTAATATGGGTGTGAAGCTTGGGTTGTAAATGCTGCAGCGAGGAGGCGGTTGGGGGCAGTGGAGATGTCCTGTCTAAGGGCAATGTGTGGTGTAAATATTATGCGGAGAATTCGGTGTGTGGAGTTAATAAAAGTATTAGTCAGAGGGCTGAAGAGGGGTTCTTGAGGTGGTTTGGTCATTTAAAGAGAATGGATCAAAGAATGACATGGAAAGCTTATAAATCTGTAGGGGAAGGAAGGCGGAGTAGAGGTTGTCCTTGAAAAGGTTGGAGGGAGGGGGTAAAGGAGGTTTTGTGGGCGAGGGGCTTGGACTTCCAGCAAGCGTGAGTGAGCGTGTTAGATAGGAGTGAATGGAGACCAATGGTTTTTTGGAACCTGATGAGCTGTTGGAGTGTGAGAAGGGTAATTTAGTGAAGGGATTCAGGGATACCAGTTACAGTATTTTTATATAGCCAGACTTGAGTACTGGAAATGTGAAGTACAGTGCCTGCACTTTAAAGGAGGGGTTTGGGATATTGGCAATTTGGAGGAATACAGTATATTATATATGCTTCTAAACTGTTGTATCTGGGTGCCTCTGCAAAGACAGTGATTATGCATGAGTGAGGTGAAAGTGTTGAATGATGACAAAAGTATTTTCTTTTTGGGGATTTTCTTTCTATTTGGAACACCCTGCCTTGGTGGGAGATGGCTGACTTGTTGGAGAGAGAGAGATAGATAGATAGGATAGAGAAATACTAATAACAATAATAAAAAATCCTATTATGCACTATGAGCAGCAGGAATTTTATGATCAGCCATGCTGTTGGAGTGTGAGCAGGGTAACATTCACAGATTCAGAGAAAATATTAACCTGACTTGAGTCTAGAGGGAAGTACAATCCCTGTATTGTGGAGTGAGGATGTTGCAGTTTGGGCCATCTGAAATGTAATGTCAGTAAACTGGTGGCATGACAGTGAATGTGTTTTCCTCTTTGTTGAGTCACCATTCCTTAGTGGGATATAAGTTAAAAAAAAAAAAAAAAAAAAAAAATTAAGAGGAAATTACAAAATCAAACACAATTTGCAGTTGATACAATTTATTGATACTGAGTGGAAGTTATTTACAACAGGCCCTTAACGAACTTGCCAAGAGGCTTACATCACCCCCCTCCCCCCACAAAAATGATCGTATAGCAGTTTCAAATATTAAGACATCTTAGTGTGAGTCTTTCTGAAAGTGCATTTGGAACTATCACAACTTATGCAAGACAGCCAATAAGCTTATTCTAAGATTCATTAAAATATTTCAAAGGTTCTTTCCTAATTATCAACAGTTTACATAACTGTTTATTATAGCCAGCCACTCATGCATAGATCTGTAAGACTTATGAGCACAAAATTGTGGTATCAACAAGCAACACCAAAATTTTTGAAGTCAGTTACAAGAGCCTTTTCTTAAATAAGTGAAATACTGTACTAATTTTTTAAATAAATAAATAAATATATCTTGCATTAAAGTATGCAGTTTTTTTTTTTGAACTTAATGCCTGAAAAAGTCTTTGCAGGTTACAAGTAAAAAATAGCTTTAAATGAAACTAGCTGAGGGCTGACTGGAAGGAATCACATTGAGAATTATGACTGTGAAATTACCCTGGTATACACAAACTGGAAAGGTTATGTGGAGGCTCGCAAAATAAACTAGGAGCCAGACAACCCAAGATTTATGTACACAATGCAAATGATAAGAGCCCCAAATCAATATTCTGAGGTACATTTACTGTAATGAAAGAAGAGATTGTGTGAATCCCTACTTCTCAAGCCCCTACAAAATCCCCTAGATGTGAGCTGGCTAAATATATATAAAAATAGGCCCACAGCACATGACCAGGGAAGAGCAGCGTCAGAAGTTGGGACCTGAGACAGTGTAACATGCAGAGGTACGAACCACCAAATTCCACACCACTACTTCAGCAATAATTCTTACAGAAATGGCTTTTACAGCCAACTACAGAGCTTACTATAAGGCTAGACTCTACTCTGAGAGCAGAAAAAGAGAGCCTAATAAACCTTAAAAATGACTGATGGTAAAACTAATATATATTATGCATTAAAAAAGTACAGAACTGTATTCTAAAAAAAAATCCATTATAACTGTTGCTACTTGTAGAAATTAATTCTTGAACAAAGTATCTCTCAATTTCATAAAAGTATATAGAAATATGAGCATGATGGCTTGGTAAGAAATAAGCTGAAGGAGTTCCAGAATTTGGAAAAAACAAAAATTACACAGGATTCTGCAAGCTTTTCTTTGGTACTTATACTGATGTGTTAAGAGGTGCTCTGCTTCCAACATGACTCAAGACTTCAAAACATACTTTTCTTAAACTCATGAATATTTGTATTATACTTTAGGTTCCAGACCATTCATGTTGATGTATAGCATATACATCCTTCACAACTAAACCACACACTGTGATGCAAAAATGTTCCAGGATGAACAGAAACATTGCAATTATCAGTCATGGAACTGTGATTTATATGGCACAAATGAATCCACAAGGATAAAATGTAACAGAAGTTTAGAAGAACAAACAGCATTTCAGGCTACCACCGAGGCCTGCAGTGGTAGGCTGAAATAATACAGCGCTTACCTTCTGTTTTGAATTCACCATGTTGGCTCATCTGGACCATTCACCAGTGATTATGCATTTTCGGATGTAGCGTGATTTGTGTGCACATGCATTATATTTGTATGTATATATATAAATGTATTTGTAATATATTTTTCCAACAAGTTTCTGAAAGCTGTCAATTTCTTAAATTAAGAAAATTATCATAATATTAAAACTATTAAAATCTCAACAGACATATCAATCCTCTCTGAAAAGTAACAAGCATCACTATGCCAAGCAGAGCACCCATAAAGATATCGTTATCCAGAGAACATTGCCATACAAGACAAAGGGGTAATTTGCAAGTAATATGCTTACCCATGCTAGTTCAATTTCCTACTCTCCCTCCCTCCCCCCAAAACCCAAATGTATAACTGTTGACCCATAGAAATCTATAACAAACATCTCAAATGACAGATTAGCTATGGTAACAGACATTTCTATATTAAATATCACTGGATTATACTAGTTTTCCAAAGAAACCAGCAATATAAGTTAGAAAATGCACACTATTATATTGCAAACCAGAGTATTTTACTAACAAGGGTAAGCTGGTTATATAAGAGAAATATGGTGATAATGTCAATGTCCCAAGAAATGTTTTTTAAGCAATGAATGTGCACTTCAAGCACACATTGGACCACCATATTCACCCATTTAGCTACTACCACAATTTGGAATGCTGCATAATAACAGATTCTATGTTTACTATTCCAATTACAAGTGACAGTTCATAAACACCACATATACACATTCCAAGATCCATAAAAAATTGGCTTGGATAGCTTAGTTCCCAAAACTTAAGAATCCACAAAAATCCATCTAAGCTCAAGTGAAAAAAAAAAAAAACCACTCCATTCCCTAAATGATCCTCCAATCAAAAAATGGAATCAGTAGGAAAAATCCACTACCTATAAATACAGTATATACTTTACTATACACGCAGTGTATGATATTAAAATATCAGAGCGAACTTACCCTTATGAACTATTCTAAGTCTCTGATGGAAAATAAACTAGGCAACTTTTTAGTAATTATTGGAAATTTCCTTAATAAATATCATTTTATAAACAATTTAAAAAAAAATTGTTTTCTTTAGAAGCAGTTACACAAGTTATTACATTGAGAATTTATTTTGTACCCTAAGAAAGTTAAAATATGATTTATCATGGCTATCTCCCAAAGCCTTACTAAACTTCATCAGTAATCATTTCCGTTATGCTATAATGCCACTAGGCATCCAAGGGAAAGTCATGAGGGAAGTGATAATACAATGATGCAACAGGTGATTCTGTGATGATGCATCGTGCTCTGGATATATCAGCAAAGGTACACTATGAACTTTTCAATTCTAATTGTAGCAAATTGATAACATGCTTTATTATAACTGAAACACAGCTAAACAACTGAAGGACTACAGATAATAATAGTGAACTACGTGGTAAGGTATTGGTGCAGTGCAACTTGCTGCTCTTGAGTTAGCTGACTAATGCATGCCTGGAACATATCTGGGTTGGCTTGTAGTTGTTGTACAATATTAAGCATGCGTTTTGTTACTTCTGCGTCCTTCTCGACAGCTTCTCTCTTGAATGCCTATGAAGAAAATTTGCATTCATTATATAGTCAATAGATTCATTAGAAAACAATAAATATCTGCAACTGGAAATACAAAGCAATCTTCCAAGTCCAAAAAAATATAATAAAAATGCAGTGACCTCAGAGTGATGCAAATCAACACAGAAAATAGGTGCCATAATTATTAATTCCCTAGTGGCAATGTTTTAAAATTTGTAAAAAGAAGCTTTTCAGCTAAAATGTCAAAGTACCAAAAACAATTTAAAACCTTCACATGTTCAACTATCTTACTGAAACTTGGGCAATGTATGATGGAAAGATGCTTCTTAGCGTACACCAAAAATGAAAGAAATCGGACCACAAATAATGCAGTTCACTTCTCAGCCACTAGCCTCCCCTTAGTGGTATATTTTTGTATGGTTTTTATGGTTATATTCTCGTTTTTTTGGTTTCATAGAATGGAAGATATACTACAGAAATAGATATGATTTTGATTGGTTTCATGACAAAAAGTACCTTGAAATTGAGTTCAAAGTAGCAGAAATGTTCGATTCTTCGACTTGGTTCAAGAGTAAACAAATGACATCACCATCTAATACCTGTCCGATTGGCACTGCCCCTCAACCTTCTCATATCGGAAAGCTCTTCAACACTCTAGCAAAAGTGGGAGCAGACATCATGAGGCAGCAGTGGCAGACACACACTCACCACTCTCTTCACCTTTCCTTTACTCTCCATATACTCTACTCTTCTTGTAACGCTTCTGCTTTGTAAAAACCTCTCATAAGCTAAATTTTTCTCTTTTATCACACCCTTTACTTCATCATTCCACCAATCAGTCCTCTTTCCTCCTGCACCCACCCTCTTATAACCACAAACTTCTGCCCCACATTCTAATACTCCATTTTTAAAACTATTCCAACCCTCTTCAACCCCCCCACTGCTTATACTTGCACCAGCCCACCTTTCTACCAATAGTTGCTTATATCTCACCCGAACTTTCTCCTCCCTTAGTTTATACACTTTCACCTCCCTCTTGCTTGTTGTTGCCATTTTCCTCTTTTCCCATCTACCTCTTACTCAAACTGTAGCTACAACTAAATAATGATCCGATATATCAGTTGTCCCTCCATAAACGTGTACATCCTGGAGCCTACCCATCACTCCTTTATCCACCAATACATAATCCAACAAACTACTTTCATTACATGCTACCTTGTATATTTGTTTATCCTCTTCATAAAATATGTATTACTTATTACCAAACCTCTTTCTACACATAGCTCAATTAAAGGCTCCCCATTTTCATTTACCCCTGGCACCCCAAATTTACCTACTACTCCCTCCACAACATTTCTTCCAACTTTAGCATTGAAATCCCCAACCACCATTACTCTTACATTTGGTTCAAAACTCCCCACGCATTCACTCAACATTTCCCAAAATCTCTCTCCTCTACACTTCTCTCTTCTCCAGGTGCATATATGCTTACTATAACCCACTTTTCACATCCAACCTTTATTTTATTCCACATAATCCTTGAATTAATACATATATAGTCCCTCTTTTCCTGCCATAACTTATCCTTCAAGATTACTGTTACTCTTTCTTTAGGTCTAACTCTATTTGAAACCAAAACAATAGATGCCGTATGCATACCTCAGAGAATATGGCCATGAGTCGTGGTAAATTAGAGTTGTTTGGTCCAAGGACAAGTGGATGGTTGCCATCAATCAAATCACACAAATATCCATAAACGTGAGGTGCTTCATCTGTATCTTCCCATACTGGAAGCCATGACAACCAAAGTGGAATTACCTAAAAGAAAAGAAAAAATAATTAAACTAGGTTTTGATTATACAGTATTTGTTACATGGGGATCACTGCCATAGACTCCAATAGGTTTAATTTAAAATAAAAGCATTAAAAAATGATTAACCCTTAAATGGTCCAAACGTTAAACTTTTTTCAACTCAAAAAGTATGTAAAAAAAGTAGATTTTTTTTTTTGGGTTTTACTGTGAAAACGGAAAAAAATTTTTTACTACATTTTTTTTTTTTTAAATTTTTGAAAAATGTAAAAAAGTAATCTACTTTTGTAAAAACTACGAATTTGAATGTCATCGTTTGGACCGTTTAAGGTAAAACTGTCCAAAAGCTACTTCTATCCCAGCACTCCAAACGAAATCAACATTTAAATTTGCTGCCTCTAAATTTGGCAGGATTGGCCTTAAATGCCTGGTCAGTACAGAATGGGTTTTAACACTCGGGAGTACACAGTATTAAAAAAAATCTGAGACCACTTAGTAGCTTTTTACCCGGAAAGGTTCCGGGGGGGGCAACGCCCCCGCGGCCCGGTCTGTGACCAGGCCTCCTGGTGGATCAGAGCCTGATCAACCAGGCTGTTACTGCTGGCTGCACGCAAACCAACGTACGAGCCACAGCCCAGCTGATCAGGAACCGACTTTAGGTGCTTGTCCAGTGCCAGCTTGAAGACTGCCAGGGGTCTGTTGGTAATCCCCCTTATGTATGCTGGGAGGCAGTTGAACAGTCTCGGGCCCCTGACACTTATTGTATGGTCTCTTAACGTGCTAGTGACACCCCTGCTTTTCATTGGGGGGATGTTGCATTGTCTGCCAAGTCTTTTGCTTTCGTAGTGAGTGATTTTCGTGTGCAAGTTCGGTACTAGTCCTTCTAGGATTTTCCAGGTGTATATAATCATGTATCTCTCCCGCCTGTGTTCCAGGGAATACAGGTTCAGGAACCTCAAGCGCTCCCAGTAATTGAGGTGTTTTATCTCCGTTATGAGCGCCGTGAAGGTTCTCTGTACATTTTCTAGGTCAGCAATTTCACCTGCCTTGAAAGGTGCTGTTAGTGTGCAGCAATATTCCAGCCTAGATAGAACAAGTGACCTGAAGAGTGTCATCATGGGCTTGGCATCCCTCGTTTTGAAGGTTCTCATTATCCATCCTGTCATTTTTCTAGCAGATGCGATCGATACAATGTTATGGTCCTTGAAGGTGAGATCCTCCGACATGATCACTCCCAGGTCTTTGACGTTGGTGTTTCGCTCTATTTTGTGGCCAGAATTTGTTTTGTACTCTGATGAAGATTTAATTTCCTCGTGTTTACCATATCTGAGTAATTGAAATTTCTCATCGTTGAACTTCATATTGTTTTCTGCAGCCCACTGAAAGATTTGGTTGATGTCCGCCTGGAGCCTTGCAGTGTCTGCAATGGAAGACACTGTCATGCAGATTCGGGTGTCATCTGCAAAGGAAGACACGGTGCTGTGGCTGACATCCTTGTCTATGTCAGATATGAGGATGAGGAACAAGATGGGAGCGAGTACTGTGCCTTGTGGAACAGAGCTTTTCACCGTGCCTGCCTCGAACTTTACTCTGTTGACTACTACTACTCTGTGTTCTGTTAGTGAAGAAATTATAGATCCATCGACCGACTTTTCCTGTTATTCCTTTAGCACGCATTTTGTGCGCTATTACGCCATGGTCACACTTGTCGAAGGCTTTTGCAAAGTCTGTATATATTACATCTGCATTCTTTTTGTCTTCTAGTGCATTTAGGACCTTGTCGTAGTGATCCAAAAGTTGAGACAGACAGGAGCGACCTGTTCTAAACCCATGTTGCCCTGGGTTGTGTAACTGATGGGTTTCTAGATGGGTGGTGATCTTGCTTCTTAGGACTCTTTCTAAGATTTTTATGATATGGGATGTTAGTGCTATCGGTCTGTAGTTCTTTGATGTTGCTTTACTGCCCCCTTTGTGGAGTGGGGCTATGTCTGTTGTTTTTAGTAACTGTGGGACGACCCCCATGTCCATGCTCCCTCTCCATAGGATGGTAAAGGCTCGTGATAGGGGCTTCTTGCAGTTCTTGATGAACACGGAGTTCCATGAGTCTGGCCCTGGGGCAGAGTGCATGGGCATGTCATTTATCGCCTGTTCGAAGTCATTTGGCGTCAGGATAACATCAGAAAGGCTTGTGTTAACCAAATTCTGTGGCTCTCTCATAAAAAATTCATTTTGATCTTCGACTCTCAGTCTGGTTAGTGGCTTGCTAAAAACCGAGTCATATTGGGACTTGAGTAGCTCACTCATTTCCTTGCTGTCATCTGTGTAGGACCCATCTTGTTTAAGTAAGGGCCCAATACTGGACGTTGTTCTCGACTTTGATTTGGCATAGGAGAAGAAATACTTTGGGTTTCTTTCGATTTTCATTTATGGCTTTTAGTTCTTCCCGCGATTCCTGACTCCTATAAGATTCCTTTAGCTTAAGTTCGATGTTTGCTATTTCTCTGACCAGTGTCTCCCTACGCATTTCAGATAGATTGACCTCTTTTAGCCGCTCTGTTATTCTTTTCCGTCGCCTGTAAAGAGAGTGCCTGTCTCTTTCTATTTTACATCTACTCCTCCTTTTTCTTAGAGGAATAAGTCTTGTGCATACATCGAGTGCCACCAAGTTAATCTGTTCTAGGCATAAGTTGGGGTCCGTGTTGCTTAGTATATCTTCCCAGCTTATATCGGTTAGGACTTGGTTTACTTGGTCCCACTTTATGTTTTTGTTATTGATGTTGAATTTGGTGAATGCTCCCTCGTGACTAATCTCATTTTGTCGGTCTGGGGCTCTGCGCATACATGTTTGAACCTCAATTATGTTGTGATCTGAGTATATTGTTTTTGATATGGTGACATTTCTTATCAGATCATCATTGTTAGTGAAGATGAGGTCTAGTGTATTCTCCATTCTAGTAGGCTCTATCATTTGCTGGTTTAAATTGAATTTTGTGCAGAGATTTAAAAGCTCGTGTGAGTGAGTTTTCATCAGAGCTGCCTCCTGGTGTTATTACTGCAACAATATTATTTGCTATATTCCTCCATTTTAGGTGCCTTAAGTTGAAATCCCCCAGGAGCAAGATGTTGGGTTTGCAGGAGCTGGAAGATTTCCAGACAGTGGTCAATTTTTAACAGCTGTTCCTGGAATTGCTGAGATTTGCATCCGGGGGCTTGTAGACTACCACAATGACTGGTTTTGGTTCTCGACCTTTACTGCTAAAACTTCCACTACATCATTTGAGGCATTAAGCAGTTCTGTGCAAAACAAATACTCTGCAATGTACAGGCCACCCCCCCCCCCCTTTTGCCTGTTCACTCTGTCACATCTGTATAGGTTGTAACCTGGGATCCATATTTCGTTGTCTAAGTGATCCTTTATGTGGGTCTCAGTGAAAGCCACGAACATTGCCTTTGCCTCTGCAAGCAGTCCCCCGGGGTTGAAAGGTATTTGTTGTTTTGTTGCTGTCTTTAGACCCTGTACATTTGCAAAGAAGAATGTCATCGGACTGGTGGTATTGTTGGTACTGGGGGGATTTTTTTTCCGGCATTAGTATCTGTAAACTGTTGGTTTTGGAGTGGAGGCCATCGACTGTGGTTCCACTCCAGGAATGACTGGATTTGGTGTACATTCTGCCATTTCCTGCCCAGTTTTTTTTCCTTCCTGGCACTAAAAAACCTCTCCCTCTGAGTGGCTGTGGGATCCCCGGTTTTCCCAATGGCCTGGATGTTTTGTATCTTTTGTCCCCTTTAGATGGTGTGCCTGGCAATTTTAGTTATAGCACAGTCTTTCCTGTACTGAAAAGGTAAAACATTTCAGGGTGAAAAAGCTTACAGGAAGGGAGTTTGCTTTCCTGTTGTCATATGGGCACGGCATTTTCTAGGGTTGTCATAGTTGCAAGCCCCAAATCTGTTGCTCAGATTTCCCATGTTCTGCAGATACCAAGTGCATAGTATGTGCACAGGTTTGGGTTTTTTCGTTTGCCTTGGGTTTCTGTGACTGAAATTCCCTGTTGGTGCACGTTTACCTGTCTTATTCCAAATCTTCCCTAGCACCAACAATGGAGCTCCCACCAGTTGTTTTTGGAATTTTATCTCACTATTGCTAGTGGAGTCCTCTTGTTTGCTATTTCCTGTTGTATTTCTTGTTTGCAATATGGTTTTATCTTATCATTGACTACACTTTTTTCCCCCCCTAGGGCTCCTGTCCCCTATGAGGTCATTTATATGCATTCCTTCCTGCGTAAAATTTCCCCGACTACCTGGACAAAAATCTCCATCTTCACCATTACTGTCTCGCAGGCACAACCTCCAGCTTCACCCATTACTGTCTCCCAGGACAGCCTCTCCAACTTCACCATTACTGTCTCCTAGGACAGCACCTCCGGCTTCACCATTTCTGTACTCCCAGGACAGCACCTCCAGCTTCACCTTTTACTGTCTCCCAGGACAGCACATCAGCCCCACATTTACTGACTACCAGGACATCACCTCCGCCTTACAGTTTCTGACTACATGGCCAGATCAAGGGCAGTACCATTCAGCCCAGATTTTTATGTTCCCATCTTTTGGGTAGAAAGTTCCAGGTTGTCTATGAAAGCAGCTTTGATGTTTTTCCTCTTTTAATCCCCTTGTGTTTATCCACGATTTATCTCCTTTGGGCATACCCAAAAACACTTCCCCGTTTTAATACTGCTTGTAGCTAGTTCTTGGAATCTGCACAAGGGGCGTGACACCAATTTCCACAAAATGACAATTTATCCATGTGGAAGCCTGTTTGTTTGATTTATTGCAGACTACACACAGCTTCATAATGATTTGAATGGTTGATTTACTGTAATTCTACTAGCAACCTCTTGAATACTCTATTAATAACCTCTTTAAGTAAAGCTCTAGCTATCGTATTTCTATTTCTAACTGTACTTTATATCAGGACAGCTTACCGGGGTACGCTCCTGCAGTTTGTTTTTAT